GCTAATTTTCGCTCCGTTCCCTTTTCTAGAAACCTGTAAATATTCTCAAGTACAACTATAGAATCATCAACCAGAATACCAATGACTAAAGAATACGCAAGCAATGTCATTAAATTTAAGGAAAAACCTAAAATGTACATCACAATAAAGGTCGTAAGTAATGACGTAGGAATGGAGACCATTACAATCACCGCGTTCCGTATGCTATGCAAAAAGAGTAACATAGTCATTCCAACTAAAAATATAGCAAAATATAAATCAAACTTTACTGAATTCGCCGCGTCTAAAGTAAATTGAGAGCCATCTTGACCTATTTCAAATTTTAAACTCTGTGCAGCATACGTTTGTTCTAATTTTTTCAATTTTTCCCTAACCTCTTTACTTACCTCAACAGCATTAGCGTCCGACTGCTTTGAAACTAATAACCCAATAGATGGATTTCCGTTTATTCTGTTATACTGACTTACATCTTCTGCACCATCTGTTATTTCGGCAACGTCCTTCAATCGAATTTCTCCACCATTTGGTACTTTCAACATAACTAGTTCTTTTAATACATCAACACTGCTTATTTTACCTGAAATCCGAACAGTAAACTGCTCGTTCATGTTTTTTACTACACCCGTTGGAAAATCTAAATTAGCAACCATAATTGAGGCAACAACTTGACCCAAACTCATCTTATAAAATTCCAACTTTTCTTTGCTCATATTTACACGAATTTCTCGCTTCGTGCCCCCCACAATATTGACCTGACCCACACCATTTATACTTCCTATAGCGGGCTTAATTTGTTTGTCAATCAAATCAAAAAAATCAACGTCTTTCATATTGCTTGTAACACCTAAACGCAAAACAGGCAATTCATCAAAAGCAAACCGGAAAGCCTTCGGCTCTTCACTGTCCTCTGGTAAATCATTTTTAATTAAATTCAACAACCTTTCAACTTCTTGCAAAGCTTCCCGAACATTCGCTGACTGCTTAAACTGCAATGTAATCGTACTCAAGCCAACATTTGATGAAGAAATAACAACATCTAAATTCTCAACTGACGACACTTGATCCTCAATTACCTTTGTAACAGAACTCTCGACCTCTTCTGCACCTCCTCCAGGATACACAGTAATAATGCTTACAACAGGAGGTGAAATCTTCGGAAGCAACTCATACTTTAATTGCATCAAAGAAAAGTACCCCAATACTCCTAATGTCGTAAATAAAACAACGACCACAGTGGGCCGTTTGATAGAAAGTTCAGTGAGTGTCATTTTTTCTTATTGAATCGTTACCTTGTCGCCATCTTTCAAATAAACCAACCCTGTTGTTATAAGCTCCTCCCCGTCCAGAAGACCCTCCAAAACCTCCATCTTATTACCTATCGGATCTCCCTTTTTTATGTTCCGCATCCTTGCAACACCACGATCATACACAAACACAAAAGGAGAACTGATTTCTCCAAAAATTGCTGAGGCTGGAATTAAGATGCGAGAAAGCGTTTGATTAACACTAAACACTCCCCTCACAAACATTCCAGCACGCAAAGATTTTTCTATTTTATTTGAAAATTCAACCTCCACAGGATACGAATGTGTTACATCCGCCTTTGAACCAATAGAAACTATTTTTCCATTATAAATTTCATTAGGATAGACATCCGTCCTAACCTCAACGTTGTCTCCCTCACGCAAACTAAATACCACCCGCTCATCCGCACGAAACACAACCCTTAAAGCGGACAAATCAACCACATTCGCAACCACTGACCCTAAGGTCAACATTTCCCCAATTTCCAAATTGAACGTTGTAACTAGCCCAGAAATAGGTGATTTAATTTCAGTATCTTCCAATTGTCTTTTTGCCAAAGAGTAGTCTATTTCCGCTTTTGCAAAAGTCAACCTCACCCCTTCATATTGCGCCTCTGAAACTGACTTTTCCTTGAAAAGTTCTTCGTATCGCTCCATATCTTTTTTAGCTTTCTCATAACTAACTTTGGCTGAATTCAGTGCAATTAACTTTAACTCGTCATCAACTTTAACTAACACACTCCCCTTGCTTACATACCGCCCCACCTTCACAAAAAGCGAAACCACCTTCCCTTGTGTTTCTGAAACAACCATTACATCTCTTATACCCTCTGTCGTCCCAACAACTTCTAAAGGCGTACCCTTAACTTCCATTTTAACCTTCTCTATTGATACAGTCTGCGGTAAATTTTCTACAACCTGCGCCTTTTCTAACTTTTCATTCTTTCTTTGCTTATTGAAAAATAGTAAGGAAATAAACCCAAATAACAAACCTATTGCGAATAACCAAATTCTTACCTTCTTAGAAAACATTTCTTATTAAATAGTTTCACACGCCTTAAAATAACAATTACTAAATGTAGCCACTTTCCTTTCTAAAAAAAACACCAGTCCACCTATTTCGAGCAACGAATCTAATTACTTCAACTATATAATTTGAACTATTTTTTTATTAATTAGAAATCAAACAAAGTAATATTTTTATTTTCAAAAAATCTCATGAAAGTCATTGCAGTTACAGGTGGAATAGGGTGCGGAAAAACAGAATTCTGCAATGTATTTAAATCATTTGGAGCATTTGTATTTTCAGGTGATGACGAAGCGAGAAAACTTCATTTTTCTGATAAACAAGTTTCTGACAACATCAAAAGAGAGTTCGGAGAAACAATCTATGAACCAAATGAGACACTCTACCGGGCTAAACTCGCCGCAATAGTCTTTTCAAATCCGTCAAAACTTCATATCCTCAATCTAATCATTCACCCCAAACTTATAGAAAAATTTCATGATTCCATTAAAGAAGAAAAAATGAAAACCACTAAAATTTTTGTTTTAGAAGCTGCTATTCTATTAGAGTTAAAAATCAACTATCCATTTGACCTAATTATTAACGTCACGGCTCCATTAAAAGTCCGTCTAAAATATATTACAGATAGAGGTCTCTCTAAGGAACAGGCTATTGCTCGTATAAAAAGTCAGGTTTCCGACAAAGAAAGACGGGAAAAATCAGACATTACAATTGAAAATAACGGAACATTAGAGGAACTAATGCACAAAGCCACTTTACTATGGAAAATAATTAACAAATAAACTTCCTTTTCATATGAAAAATAGGACTTCACGTATTGGACCATTTTGTTTTGAATATAAAAACTATAAAGTGTAGGACACAGAGGAAAAGAAAAATTGTAGGCTGAAAGAAGTGCGTTTGGAGTAGAATCACAAACTAATTCCTTAAAGGAGGTGATCCAGCCGCACCTTCCGATACGGCTACCTTGTTACGACTTCACCCCAGTTACTACCCTCGCCTTAAACCCTTTGTAGAGTCTTCGGGCGCTGGCAACTCCCATGGTGTGACGGGCGGTGTGTACAAGGCCCGGGAACGTATTCACCGCGGCATGCTGATCCGCGATTACTAGCGATTCCAGCTTCATGGAGTCGAGTTGCAGACTCCAATCCGAACTGGGACGATGTTTTTGGGATTTCCTCCACCTTGCGGCTTCGCCCTTTGTAATCGCCATTGTAGCACGTGTGTAGCCCTACTCGTAAGGGCCATGAGGACTTGACGTCATCCCCACCTTCCTCCGGTTTAACACCGGCGGTCCCATTAGAGTGCCCAGCCAAACCTGATGGCAACTAATGGCGAGGGTTGCGCTCGTTGCGGGACTTAACCCAACATCTCACGACACGAGCTGACGACAGCCATGCAGCACCTGTGTTATGGCTCCCTTTCGGGCACTCCCACCTCTCAGCAGGATTCCATACATGTCAAGGGTAGGTAAGGTTTTTCGCGTTGCATCGAATTAATCCACATCATCCACCGCTTGTGCGGGTCCCCGTCAATTCCTTTGAGTTTTAATCTTGCGACCGTACTCCCCAGGCGGTCAACTTCACGCGTTAGCTACAACAGTCATCCTTGCGAACAACCATTTAGTATCCATAGTTTACGGCTAGGACTACTGGGGTATCTAATCCTGTTTGCTACCCACGCTTTCGCACCTCAGCGTCAGTGTCAGTCCAGAAGGCCGCCTTCGCCACTGGTATTCCTCCCGATCTCTACGCATTTCACCGCTACACCGGGAATTCTACCTTCCCCTCTATGTCTCTAGACAATTAGTATCCAAAGCATCTCTCTTGTTAAGCAAGAACCTTTAACCTTAGACTTAATAAGCCGCCTACGCACCCTTTACGCCCAATCATTCCGGATAACGCTTGCATCCTCTGTATTACCGCGGCTGCTGGCACAGAGTTAGCCGTGGCTTATTCGCACAGTACCATCCTAAGTTCCAAAGAACTTTCTTGTCCCGTGCAAAAGCGGTTTACAACCCGAAGGCCTTCTTCCCGCACGCGGCATGGCTGCATCAGGCTTGCGCCCATTGTGCAATATTCCCCACTGCTGCCCCCCGTAGGAGTCTGGACCGTGTCTCAGTTCCAGTGTGGCTGGTCATCCTCTCAGACCAGCTAGGGATCGTCGCCTAGGTGAGCCTTTACCTCACCAACTAGCTGATGGGACATAAACCAATCCCTTGGCGATAAATCTTTGATGATCCACTCTTTCGAGCAGACCATATCATCTGACATTGTCCCCGATTTCTCGGGGTTATTTCAGACCAAAGGGCATGTTATCTATGCATTACGCACCCGTACGCCAGGTACACGTAAAACCGAAGCCTTACTTTCCCTTGACTTGCATGTGTTAGGCCTGCCGCCAGCGTTCGCTCTGAGCCAGGATCAAACTCTCCATGATGAAAAGTTTTTTCCTATTACTTTTATTTTTAACTCTTGCGAACCTACTTTCTTCCTCCCGCACTTCTTTCAACCTCAACCTTTCAATGAACTTACTGATTACTATCAAAAAGTTTTACTAAAACTTCTTACTAAATCAGGGATGCAAATATACACTTTTTTTCATATTTACAAATTATTTTAAAAATATTTTCTCGTGTCTGAAATTAAAATCCCAATTCAAACAACTTGTGGGCTTTGAGGGAATCGAACCCCCGACCTTCTGAGTGTAAATCAGACGCTCTAACCAACTGAGCCAAAAGCCCTTAATTTTTGCGCTTGAGAACATAACTTTTTCCAATCACCGAAAACACAAAGAAAACTCTGTATTTCAGAATCTCTACAAACCACAGTGCGCGTATAATCTACGTTGATTGCAAACGCAATAATAAAACAAAGAACTCAAAATACTAATTCAAATTATTTATTTCGCAATAATTTATATGCAGCCTACCTTTGGAATAAACATGTAATATGCGACAAAACACCTCTATTTTCCAAGCACTTCAAAAACTTTTTATATGTACGATGCGAAAAAGTTTAAATCAACGGTTAAATTATTTCTTATTTCTAAAGATTTTTTACAAAAAAATTAAAATTTTTAGTCGCTTTTGTATTATCTTCGAATTTTTAGATGACTTTTACAAACAATTAAAATTTTTAGTTATGAGAAAAAATTTGTTTTTTGTGAGCATGAGCGTGTTTGTTTTATGTTCCGTTTTGTTTATAGGTTTGGTAAATTCAGCAAGTGCTCAAGATGCACCAGATGAAGCACCAAAAGCAGAGGCTCCTATGAATGAGGCTGCACCAGCACCAAAAGCAGAGATGTCTGCGCCGTACAACGGGTTGGTGCTAACGTTAAATGATCAATGGTCATTAAAGTTTTCGGGGCAGTTAAATACATACTTCGTCGCAAATATGCAGGAAGGAAAGGATGCAATCTTCGGCGTACAGAACGGCTTATTACCAGCTTCACTGAACGTAAGCCCTATGTTCAAAGCTTCAAGTGCTGTAACCATTTCAGGTAACTTTGGACTTTACCTTGGTATTCCTGCAAGTGGCGTTGATAATTCTAAATCTAATGTTGCTTTAGATTTTTCCGCTGTTGATATCCGAAGTTTATCATTTTCAATTGCAACACCCGGTGGTACCTTCTTTTTGGGACGAGACTTTGGACAATTTGGTTTAGACGCTATTTTAAATGATATTTCATTGCTTGGAGTTGGTGGAAACTATTCTTTTGCAAATCCTCAACATACAACTCTTGGTGGTATTGGCTATGGCTATATCTATGCGGATAGGTTAGTTCAAATCAACTACACTACGCCCACATTTGGTAACACAAGCGTTACAGTGGGTATATATGATGCCATTAATGATTTTGGAGCAACATCTATTGCTACTGGCATTATTGGATGGCATGCAAAAGCCAAAACTGACCAAAAATTCGGTGAAAATGTCGGCTTGTACATTAGTGCAACCTTTTTAGCACAATACAGAAGTGTACTTTCAGGAATGGCTATTGGCTGGGATGCATTTCTAAAGTTCAACGTTTATGGCTTCTCACTCATTGGCTACATCTATGGTGGTGACGGAATAGGTGATGTTGGCTTGATGGTCGGAGGAACTAAAACCAATGGATCAGGTAAAGTTGTCGCAGCATCATCACTCGGATATTACGGGCAGCTTTCTTACACTATTAAAATGGCAATGCCTCTCACCATTGGTGTATTCTACGGTGCATCAACCATAGACCAAGGAACAGGTGGAAAATCTGATGTGAAAGCTTCAACCAGAATCACGGGAAGCGTTGCTCTTGCAGTACTTCCTTATTTAATTCTGCGAGCAGAGTTCACCAATCAGTCTGAGCAAAAAACTCTCCCCGCTGCCGCTCCAAAAGCAAACATCGTCAACGTTGGTGCAACCTTTGCTTTCTAAAAAGGATTTTTATGGAGTTTAATTTCATATTTATTCAGACCCACTTCGGTGGGTCCTTTTTTGTTTAATTTTATATTCTATTCAAATATCTTTAATACAAACATCTTCAATTCTACCCGCTAAAAAAGTAGTTCTGTTGGATTGTGTAAGGAACTTGTTGAATAATTTGTTAAATAGAGCATTTATGAATAAGTATGTTTAGACCCTGAATAGGAACTTTGCGGAAAGTACGACATTCCACAATGAATAACAAAGGCAAACCACAAAACACCATGCACTTATAGTACTTATGAAAAGACTTCGAAAACATATTATTAGAATACTCAAAAACCTTTTTGTTGGGTTAATTAGACCGTTTTTTCTAATTCGAACAATTAAGAACATGAATTTATTCGAGCAAAAATATTCTTCCCAACATGGTGAAGATGGAATTATAAAAACAATCTTTAATAAAATAAAACCAACAAATAAGTTCTGTGTAGAATTTGGCATCCATCCGAAGGAAGGAAACACTGTTCTACTCAAAAAAAAGGGATGGAATTGCTTATGGATGGACGGAAACGGAGATGGTGAAATTATTAAAAAGGAATTTATAACCGCAGAAAATATTAATTCCCTTTTCAACAAATATAACGTCCCAAAAGAATTTGATTTACTCTCAATTGATATAGATTCAACCGATTATTGGATTTGGAAGGCAATTGAAGGATACATTCCGCGTGTTGTTATTATAGAATATAATGCTAGTTTTCCACCAACAGAAAGTAAGGTCGTAAAATATGACCCGAATTTGCTATGGGATAATTCTAATTATTTTGGAGCAAGTTTATTGGCGTATGAAAAATTAGGTAAAGAAAAAGGTTATACTTTGATCGCTTGTGATAAAACGGGAACTAATGCCTTTTTCATAAGAAGTGAATTAATAAAAAACCATTTCGTAGTTAAGCCAATTGGAGAAGTATATAGACCCCCAATGTATGGTGAAATAATCAATGGCGCTCACATCGGTCATCCTCCGAGTAGTAAATCCATGATGTCCGTTTAATGTCACCTGTCCAACCCGTATATTGCGAACTATTAAATACATATATTAAAACATCCAACATCCTTGCTATGCACCACAAAACTACCCAAATATCAAGCATTCCAAACCTTGCTAGACTTTTCAAAATTTGGTGCATCCACCTATTTTAACCTGATAAACATGGCAACGAAAAGGTTCTAAGATTCCTTTTGCAATACAAGCAAGAAATTGAGTAAACAACTCTCTTTTTGCAAACCCAAATTCATGCATGTTTTTGCCAATTTTCGTATTAGCAACATTTACTTTCGCTTTTTCACCAACTGAACTTCCACTTTCCACTAAAATTTTTATCCGCAATCGCTTGTTGAGGGTCTTTGGACAGTTTGTTAGTTAAGAAAAATTCGCATCCAATTATGGTTACCCATTTACCGAAGACTTGTTTAAGGTAGTCAAGTGCAATTTGAGTGCAATCAATTCCCTTTTTTTCAAATCGTGAGTATTTTATAACATGAATAATAAACAAGACCCCATTTGCGATAGCCTTTGGTGCAAAAGGAATTACTTTTGGGGTAGTGTATAAAAAAGTGTGTTTCTTGGATGTTTAGACATTTTGAAAATAAGATATAATTTCTCGTTTTTTTGCCATTAGACACTCTTTATTTCATAGTATTTTTCAATCAAAACAAAGGGGCAAATTCCCCTTGTTTGTTTATTGTCCGAACCATGATTTGTAGGATTAAAAGATGAGCCGGATTGTTTTCAATCAAGACCATCTGTCTCTGTGCAACGCACAGGCAGGAACGAGCGTGTTTGGTCTTTTCTTTGTGGCAATAATAGGTGGAATTATCGCAAAACCAAATGGTTTTAACGCAAAACCAAATGGTTTTAACGCAAAACCAAATGGTTTTAACGCAAAACCAAATGGTTTTAACGCAAAACCAAATGGTTTTAACGCAAAACCAAACGGTTTTAACGCAAAACCAAATGGTTTTAACGCAAAACCAAATGGTTTTAACGCAAAACTAAACGGTTTTAACGCAAAACCAAATGATTTCGGAGCGTTCCCATGCTGTTTATTTCATTTTTCGTGCAATTTCGCAGATTATGGCAGAAAGGGGGTACAAAAGATTAACTTGTTGGTTTTAGAAACACACTTTTTTATACACTACCACTTTTGGTGCAAAGGGAATTACTTTTGGCGCAAAGGGAACAGATGTAAGCGTTTTTTACATCTTCTTCGTGGTAGCGATTTGAAGTTTTTGGTAAAGAGTCATAGTGGTTAGGAAAGATTAATTGGTTTGGGTAATGGTTCAAGCAGTTATTTGAGATTCTACTTCTGACGCTTCCCCGATTAAGAGATATAAGGAAAAAATTTGCTTTTATTTTGTAAAGTCAAGTGGAGGAAGAATAATTGAACCAATGCCTGCTTTTAGTAATAAATTAGATAAATGCTCGCGTATGTAAGGAAAGATAATTGCAGCGCCGTTAATTTGCCCAAATTTTTTTAAATCTTCTAATTTTGAATCGCCGATTTTCTCAAAAACACCCACCATCGCAATAGTGCAAGACACTTCTTCAACATTATTACAGGATTGGACGTATAAAATTTTCTCGGTAACAAAAATCGTCCTTTCTTCTACATCAACATTTACATCAACATTAATGTTTGGGATTATACCTTCTGCAATAAAGGTTACATTCGGTACTCGTTTAAAACTACTTTCCAATAAAATTAAACTTCTTATTCTAAAACCAGATTCCATCTGATTGTTACCTGCTTGATATGTCATTATGCAGCCAATAGATAATTTAACAGATCCATAGAGATGGTTTGAGTTTCACCTGATGCTATACTATTAGTTTTACTTGTGCTAATGTAACTACAATTAAATGTCTTTACAATACCATTATTAAAAACTTTATCAGGCGAACTTATACTTGGAATGCTTGTAAAATTTGAATCAAAATGTACATTAACCTTATCAAATAAAATAGATGAAAACTCAATATTGGAAGTAATAGTAATATCATTGATATATTTACTACCCGCAAGTTTAAATTGAGTATCATTTATCCCAACAATTGCATCGTCAGAAAAAAAGCAAATATTTTGATCTGGAAATAACTTTATGAACTCATCCGTAGTATTGTTTTCCCAAGAAATGTACTTTTTATCAAGATGATAAATATCATTTGGGACTACTTCGATGCAATGAACATTTGCATTAATGTCAAATTCGTATCTTACACGTGTCTCAGGAAAGGATTTAACAAAATTGCCCAATGCTTTTTTTATAAAAGAGG